AGCTTCAAGAAAAAGAAGCAAAATTGGCATCATATTTGTCTGATGAACAAGTAGGAGCCCTTGCTGTGCCATCAAAAAGGAACTGGTCAGATAAGTCCGTTATAAAAGGACTGAAAGTGTGATTTGCTTTGGGCAAACATGGATATAATTACCTCAGAAGTACTGGATATCCAGCACCATCATACAGTACCTTGAATAGGAGGATTAGTGATATAAAAATTAATTTCGGCATTTTAGAAAATTTGTTTTTTTTTTCCTCAAGACAAAAGTTCATCATTGGATGCTCTTGATAGGAACTACTGCTGCCTTTTAGTTGACGAAATGGAAATAGCTTCATATCAAGATTTTGATACATCGTCTAAGTCATTCATTGGAAATGTTACGTTAGGAAGCTAAGCATTACACTATTGTAATGCTTAGAGGCCTTAAAACATCATGGAAACAGATTGTTGCCAATGAATTGACAGGGCCTTCAAACATCAGGTTCTGATATGAAAGATCTAATTCATAGAACTGTAGTAGCAGCTACAGAAATAGGTTTAACTATAAGAGCCTCTGTTTCAGATATGGGAAGCAATAACAGAGCAATGTGGTCGTTCATTGGATGTCTCTGTCTCTAGGACAGATAGGAAGACAAATTACAACATTGGAGGACCTGATGTTTTCATTCACAGTATTGCAGATGTACCACATCTGATTAAAAATATGGAGAAATGCATTTCTTTCAAGTATTCTAATATTACCAGAGGAATTTCGCCAGCAACATGGCATGCCTTGCCATCCAGGATAGTATCTTCAGTGTATGTGAAACGAACTCTGGTTCAAGTGAGATAGAATCAGATGCTGCCCTGAGATCTCCTACATCACCTGAACCGAATTCATCTCTTCCCAACACACTTTTCCTTCGATGAATGTGGCATCTGCTGTGCAATTGTTTTCTGTAAAAACAGCAGCTGCTATTGAAAAAGCAGTTATTTTACAAGTTGCAGAAGAAGCATTAACTTTTGCATGGTGGACAAGACTTGTAGCAGAATGGTTTACAATTATGACTGCAAGGCATCCAGAAAAGGCATCACTATCAAAAATCAAGATGAGATATTTAACATTTTATTAAAATTCATTCATGTGACTGAAACTGTACAGTTTGGGAAAGCATGGAAGCCATTTCAAACTGGCATTATTATGAGCACATTGAGTGCTGTGAAACTCTCAAAAGAATTATTTTCAGAGGGGTTTACATTTTCTTACCAGGCAGGTTGACACAAGATGCGCTGGAAAATGCCTTTTCACAGATTAGACGAAAGTTGGGTGCAAAGCCTACTGCTTTGCAAGCCAAGAGAGCACTGAAATTAGTGTGCCTATCACAGTTCATTTCAGATATCAATAATCCAAATTATTGTTCTGAAAGTGACCACAGCCTCTTTGATGCTTCTGAATTAGAGGTTGCTATCAGAAAGGAGGTCTTGCATCCTATCTCCAATTCTGTAGTGCCATCTACCTCTTCTGCAGTGGCAGTGAAACGTCGCTTGCCCCCAGCTGTGGAAGAAAATGATATACATTACATCGCAGGAGCCATATATAATAAGTTGTTGAAAAAAAAAAGCATATGTGAAAATTGTAAAACAGCTATGACCATTTCAGAGGACATGCTGGAACCTGACATACCCGAGCAATCGCACAATTCTTACAAAACATAGCAATAAAGGTGGACTGAAGGTCATCTCTTCAGGAATGTATCAATATGTAGGGAAGCTGAACGAGAATTTCAAAAATGTAAAGATGTACTCCTTCGTTTACAATCAGCCATCACAAAAGAATTAGTTGAAAGAATAATTGATAAATGTACACATGTGGCCATGCCAGAATGCTGTAATCTTAAGAAAGTAATTATTGATAATTAATTTTATTACTAGATGCAAAGGCCTTACACAGCATCTTATCAACAAAAGAGCCCATAACGTTTCATATTCATCAGCATCGGCCAATAAGAAACAAAAAGTAAAATAATTTTAGAAGGTATGTATGTTTTATATTAAATAATTTATGTGTTTTATGTAATATGTATTACTTTTCCTAGGCTACGAGTATATAAATTTCTGTGTTTGATGTTATATATGTTACTTCTGCTAGGCTATGAGTATATTATTATGGTATTATTTTCTTGTTTCTAATATAGAAATATAGCATATTTTCCAGTATAAAATTTCAGTTCAGTTTACTTAAAAGTATGGGAAAGCAGATTTGTTTCATGCATGATCTTTATAATACTGGTATGAAATGAATGAATTTTAATCTGTAAACAATTTTTTGTTAATATTGAAATGTGTTTCTTTGGGTACATTTTTAGGCACTTGTGGATCATGTCAGACAACATGCAATAGAAAAAAGATGTCCAGTGTGCATAAATTTTTCCCATTTTGTTATTTCATTTGCTTTATTTGAAGTACTGGCTGATTATTGTGCTGTTTCAGTGAATGAACCTTCATGAATATGTGGTCACAATGTGTATCCTAATTTATCCTGTATATTATGTGTATCCTGTTTTTGAAGAATTCTTTTATTCATTTTAGTAATGCATGATAAAAGATGGTATGTGTTTCATTTTATCTAAATTTCAAGGATAATGTTTTTCATTTTTATGTAGCATGTTATTTTTCAGTATAAAGGCTATAGTGAAAATAAATTGGTATGTGTATCTGTTTTTTTGAAGTGTAATGCTTAAATAAAAAGATGGTGTGTGTTTTCTTCATTTAACAAAATTTCAAGGATAGTATTTTTCAGCATTGTACTGTTTGTTATTTCTCAATGTAAAGGGTAACAAGGGGAAAAAAACTGGTATGGTACATCTGTTTTTTTAAGCATGATAATTTTATTTATTTCTTTAGTGATGCATATATATAGAGAGAGAGAAGGTGTTTGGTCCAACTGAAGTTATAATAAATCTAATTTTACTAGATCTCTCCCTCCCCTCAGGTGTAGAAAATTTTCAAATGCAGAAAGTTTATTTGCAGAATTAATTCATTTCTGATAAACTTATTATCATTAATTTTTTATATACATGTTATTAAGTTACACATTGACTACTGTGTAATAAACTTGTATTTAGGGCAAAAATTAACTATTTTTGCATCTGGTGACTAATATCATATGCTTCTAAGAATATTACTTTAACTTTTTCCATAATTTTGTATTTCAGGAACATGAAACTGTTATTTTGATATACTTAAATAATAAAAGTGTGTATCTGAATCAATTAATGGATACAAATATTTTACAGTTATTTTTAGAAGATATTTGCCATATCGCTTCTAATAATTCATAAAGTATGTTAAAATATAGGTAAATAATTTGGTGCAGAATTCAAATTTAGGGTTTGAAATATAGTGAATCATGAGACTAAATGATTTTTATTGTCATGATTTGCCTGGGCTTAAGAATGTACTTTTCGCCCGGTGGAAATTGTCATCAAACTGTCCTGAACAGGCTTTTTGTTGATAATAACTTCCAGGCTTATCAGTACCTCCTTTTGAGTGGAGGGTATGCAAATATAGTACCCAATTTAAATTACATTGTGATTGTAATAATATTGTGGTATTAAATAAGTGATTATAATTACAATTTAGGTAATTGCATTGTAATTATATTACATTGTATCTGTGAACTCTTAATTTCATTACTTTATGCAATTATGTTGTAAGTGCATAATCTAATTCCAATAATATAATCTATTCACAATTACAAAATAATTATAAATGCAGTTACATCTTAAATAGAGGCCATTTTAATACTTTTAAATTTTTGCAAGATAACTTCCCATTAAGGTTCATTTGGAGGAAACTATGCAAATATTAAAAAAGAAGTTATGCTAAATTTACATATTTTGTACAGTAGTTTCTTGTTATAATGCTGTTCAATATATCTTCAATACTTTTGTAAATTTAACGACATTCTTTGCAATCACTGTGGTGCTTTAAAAAGAAGTTTCTTAGTTATGCTTTCTAATAAGAATGGTTTAAAAATTAAGTATTATGTATAATAACTAGCAGTTAAAAAAACTTGACTGCATGAAAATGCTGTTGCTGTGTAAAATAAAAAATAAGCTTTCTTTTATGCTTTGAAATGAATTACATGTGGTTAAGTCGTCCTTTTACAATTTAAGAATGTGGTTAACACACATTCTTAAATTGGGACAGGTTTTTATCTAAATTATTAGTATAAAATATATAAACTATGAATTATTTTGTAACATAACTCAAATTACAAAATTCATTCTATATACGTTCAAATTTATTATCTTTTATGGAATAACTGTTTTTTAATTTAGGTAAAAATTGGATTTTTAGAAGTATTACAAATACAATGCAACACAAAGGTGATCTGATTGGAGAGGAAGGACTTTTTATTACGGTTTCTAGTTCGTATTTATATTACATTTGGTGAAAAGTCATCCAAAACACAGAATGCTGTACTTTCTTCTTCCATATATGTTATGAAATATTTCACACATTTAAAAGAAAGTGTTTCTTCAGAGTCTTGCACAATTATTTCCATATACCTCAGACTAAAATGACAACATATTCTTAAGTTATTTTTTTAGTATGAATTTACAGTGTTTTTATGGAAATTTTTGTTAAAATGTCATTAAGATAAATTTATTTGCACACTCTACGCTTTAACTATTTCCCCATTTGACACTATTGAAAGTTTTTATTCATATCTTATTTATTTTAGTCTGCTAACGAAACTGAAACATCTAAAGAATAAAGAATAATATTTTGAATATGCTTACAAAATATACGCGAAATTTTTATTTAAGTGAAAACGTCTATATACTATTCGAGAATTAATTAATTATCCGAAAAGTTTATGTGCGCTGAATGCCGCGCGTCTATAAAATAAATCTTTAAAAAAAAAACAGCAGACATTCAGCCAGCGTGTGCGATAAACGCGCCAAAATTGGTAGCGCGTTCCCTCCCTCGCCAAGAGAGAAAAGTTGGTGATTCAGCCTGGTTTAGAGGAGCCTTAGTAAGGCCGTTCGACTGGTTTGAATGGCAGGCATTACAGGAGTTTCTAAGGAAAACTGCCTCGTGTTCAAGTTGCACATCCACCTGGCTGAGTGAACTAGTGAGTTTCTTTGATGTAGATTTAATGCCAAATTAATATTAAATTCTGCCTCATTTTAAGCTTCATTTTTTTTTTTTTTTTTTTTTTTTTTTTTTCCAAAGTAAGAAGGTTACCTTTCTTTTTCGTTTCACTTTTCCATAATGAGGTTTGGCCAAGGAACTTGGCAACTTTGGTTTGGCAACGTTATGTTAGTAAGCGCGCCGTGTTTACCTGGTATTACGACAACATGTGTAAGTGAGGAATTAAGTATGGATGATGATAAATTTTCATGTATCAAACAGGTTCATAAATCTGTTCATATATCAGTCCCTTCAGCTTTTATCTCTAATGAAGTATCTGGGATAACTGAAATACTTGATAGCTGGAAACGCCAGTACGTGAAGCAGCTTCAGGGAGTTGTTGTTGGTTACAGAAATGTGTCTCTAGCTTCACGCGCAAACGTCTTTGTTGTTGATCAGCCTGCTGAACACTGTTATGTTACAGCAGTATTTTACCTATTTTGCCCAAACATAGGTACTATCGTTAAAGGTACTATTAATCGAATCAGTCGAGATCATATCGGCTGCCTCATCCATGATACCATCAATGTTACGATACATCTTTCAGATGAAAGTTATGAGGACATTAGCAGATTCATGTATCTGAATAGCACAATTTTGTTTCAAATTACTCACTACGATTTCGCACGTAAAATTATACGTGTTGAAGGTGAGATAACACCAGAATGCATTCGCTTGATGGAAACAATGTATCCTGAATCTGTTCAAAATAGTAATAAAAGTTCATTGAAATATCTTGATAATCAGCAAGAATTAGGTACTTCTAATAACCATAATTTTCAGTCAAAAAAGAATAAAAAATCCAAGCGCATGAAATTGGATGCTTTTGATGTTTTACCTGAAATAACATCTAGTGACAATCATTTTGTTAATTTTTCATCAGTTAAAAATTCAGAAATACCATCTTCAAAAAGTAAAAAAGTTGAGCAGTCAGTATCATCTCTTAATGCAAGTACTTTCAGTGGTACTGTAGACTCCAACACTGATCAGTTATTTCCGTCAGCAGATGATTTTATGCGGTTCCTAAAAAAAGAAATAGGTTCTGATGAAGTGAATTCAGAATCGTCTTCACAAAAGGGGAAAAGGGCAAATAGCCTGTCTACAAAACGTAATGTATCAAGTGATAACTCGACAAGTAAAAGTGAACATCCTAAAAAGAAATTAAAACGTGCGAAAAAAGAGAAATTGTCTGAAGCAAATTCTGAATCATCTGCAAAAACTCTTTCTTCATCCAAAAAGAGGAAAAAAGTGACTAATTCATTGTCAGATTTGTTGAATGATATTCAGCCTGAAAGTGAACAGCCACCTAAAAAGAAATTAAAACTTTCAGACAAAAATAAAAAGAAGAAAGATAAAAAAGATTCTAAAAAGGATAAGAAAAAGTCTTGCAAAGATAAACTTGAGAAAGAGAAGAAAAAATTATCTGAGTCCAAAGCTAAAAAACCAAAACATAAGAAAGAAAAAAAGAAAGATCGTAAAAAATCTGATGAAAAATCAAAGAAAAAGAAGAAAGGTTCAAAACACGAGACTTCTAATATACTATTAAAAACAGATAATAAATCTGAAGTGAGCTGAAAATTTGCTTGTTAAGTAGGAATGTTATTAAAGTAATCTTTTTTATTTTTTTGTTATCAGATTTCTTTCTTAACAATTTGCTAATTATAAATTAAGATTCATTCATACGGACTAATTTTATTTATTTATTTCATTATTTTTGATAAGTGTATCATTTTTATTTGTATAACTTTCTAATATCAATAATAAATTTTCAATCAGAATATCTCAAATTTACGTAGAAAAAGATTGGGTACTCTTCAGTTATTGCGACCAGATTCAGAAAATGTAGGTATATATGTATGGGTGTATGTGTTTATTGTATGGATGTACATACATGTGTATGTATACATACACACACTCATATATGTGCATACATACATATTTCTGTGAATTTGATCCCAATATCGGAAGAGTACCAAAGACTGATACTTATGAATTATTATTTGGAAAATTTTCAAAATTTTGATAAAATTTCTTTTAGGGCTAAAAACTAAGGGGGCACATCAGATTTAGGTACAACTCTAATATACGCCCTAATTTCACCAAATGTGGCGATATGTGTTCTGCGCTGGGTTTTGGCGGGATTGTGTGTTCTATGGCAACCCTGTTGACGTTGAAAAATCTTTCGCTGGAGCTCGTTGGTCCACCTCTGTGTCTGAGAAGATGGAAGGGAAAGATAAAATCGTAGTTGTTGAATTGAAGTTAGGCAAAAGGAAATACGATTGTGGCTATCCTGTTGAGGGGTAGTGGGTATTTGGAAGTGTGGAAAGAGGGTCTGGGAGATTATGTTTTAATGGCTATGCATGATAGAAGTAGGGATTTGTGATTTTTTTTATTTGTGAACCATAGTATAAATTTTCTGGATGGTGTGTCTGGCTGTCATGTAAATACGATAGTGATTACGTGGCGGTATGAAATTGGTATTTCTGCTATTCGAAAAATGCATTAATTCATGTAAGTGCATTTTTATTTTATCCTTGTTCTTATTTTGTAGAATGTTATGTTCATTGGTTCTTTAGTATGAATTTCTGTCGTTATTGTGTTTTTTTTTAAATTGTTTGAAATTTATTTTAGTTTATTTTGTCGTTTAGTGTCTAGACTGTACAATTCGTAGATGTTTTTTAAAGTTGAAACAGAATGTTGTGTACATAGTATTATTTTAAATTTATTGTTGTTATGTTATTTTATTAAAGCGAGGAGTGCATAGATCGTAGATTCCTTCCTTGCCTAAATTGTGCAATTCGTAGAATTTTTTTAAAGTTTAAACAGGATGCTGTGTACATGGTATTCTTTGAAATTTATTGTTGTTATGTTATTTTATTAAAGCGAGGTGTGCGTAGTTTGTAGATTCGTTCGTTGCCTACATTGTGCAATTCATAGATGTTTTTTTAAGTTAAAACATGTCGCTGTGTACATGGATTCTTGTCAAATATTTTTGGCTAGAAACTTCACATTTTGCTATCTAAATTTTTTGTTTTTGTTTTGGATCTTTAGCTAAATTGTGTGTTCAAAACGTAGTTTTTGCATGTGCGAAAACCGCGTTTTTGGAGACATTTCAGGCTAAAAGTTCAAAATGTAGACAAAAAATTTAGATAGCAATTTGGCGACTTGAGGGCGCATATCAGAGTAGTTCCCAGATTTATTTATCTCATTCTAATATTTTTTGTTATTTTGTAATGATTTTATTTTGAAAACATTATTTGATACCTGGAGTTAATTGTTAGGTTAGGTTATTTAATTACAGCAAAGCCTCAAGGGCTATCTGCCTAAGGGAAGGAATGCCTTCGTGGAGGACTTTCTAAGGGAAACTGGCTCATATATACGTTACACATGGGAAAAACACCCATCCAGCCCAGTCTGTTCGCAGGATTCGAATCTCGGACCGAACTACCACTGTTCAGCGACTTTACCGCTCGGCCGCTGGTGGGCCTTGGAATTAATGGAGTAGGTACTTCCCTCTCAGTCATGTGTTATCAGTTTTTAAGTGGCCAAAACAGAATGCTAGTTTGACATGCCTGTTGTTTGTATGCATCATGGCAGAAAGATATGTTTTGCATGCAATTCAAAATTTGTGCAGTATGTTTTTTAAAAGAAAACGACTCATTCTGTACACCTGGCACAAAAAGAAAGGGACTGTTCTGTATCTCCCAATCTACTGGACTGACTGTTGAAATTTGCGACTTAGGATATATATTAGATTTATATATAGCATTATTCTAACATAGGTATTTTGATACAAAATCAGATTTTTTCTGAAGTAACATACCTTTTTTTTTTTTCATATTTCGATTCTACGACTCGAATTATGCCTAGCTATTAAATTTTGCAATTTTCGGTAAGAAATTTAAAAATTTGAGGAACAGCTTTAGTATTGGTCTATTTGGCGACAAACTTCGGTGGCCAAGGTGGACCCGGCTTTGAAAATCGGAAAAAAATGGCAGATTGTCAACAAAACCCGATCTAGACTAAATAACAATCTTAAAAAATAAGCTCTTGATTAGAATAAATAGTCTTTCTCTAATTTTCAACATTTCTAGTACTGCTATGATAAATTCTTGAAGCACTACCGTAAATGAATTTATGGCAGTGATTATGTTATGAGTAATGAAATTTACAAAAGGTTAATATTTTAAACTACAAAATATAATATTAATATATTAAATATTAATTTTTAAGTAATTAGTTAATATTTATATTATATTAGTATTTAGCTAATATTTTAAATTTACAAAAGGTTAATTTTTATGTTTCGAATAATGAAATTTACAAAAAGTTAATAAATGCATTTCAAACTAGTATATATTACTTTAGTTTCTTAGATTCTATTAGTAAAAGAAAATGAAAAAAAATATTTCAAAGTGAAGGAAATCAAATTGAATTATAACGAGTAAATTTTTTACCAGTGTTAGAAATACTTTATGATTAAATTTTGTAAATGGTAAAAATATTAAGTATGTATTTTTTAATCACTCAATGTATTACAAGTAATTTATGATTATAATTTAAAAGCTAAAATTAAATTATCATGAGTAAATTTTGTACCAATGGTAATCATACACAACAACAATCATCATAACTGATGATTTCTGTGAAAGATTCGAACAGATTTTCCTTAAATGCAATGTGAATCTGAGACAGTTGCTCTTGAAATGTCCTTTATGAAGGCATCCTTTTGCTAGCCTTTATTTTCTATTCATAAATATTGTTCTCGCTTCTTATTTCTTAATTCTAAATCTTACTTCTGAAGTGAAGAAGTGTTGCATCTATAGGTCGAAAAATATGGTCAATATGCTTGCAAAATCCTGTTCAGTTTTGGACAGCATTTAAATAAAATAAATAATTTGTATATGATGCAAACAAAAATGCATTACACTATTTCATGTAGTGAATAATTAATCAGGAAACAAAGTATAATGTAACGTTCTTTTATTTTGTAACCAGAGTTTTTTTATGTTTGGGATCTTTACTGTCAATTTCCCCATCTATTTTCCCACCAAAATCCAAATGAGTTTGTAGAAAACAAACCGTGTTTTGCCATTAGAGGTCATGTTACTAGGTTGCTAGATAAGATAAGATTTGTAGTCTTCAGTCCTGCATTATAATTGCTGATAGTTGAATTCCATGTCGGTTAAGTTTTGAACCAGCTTCGCATTAAATTGATTTGTGTAGCCTTTGGCTACAAATTTATTTGAATTTAAATTTTACATTTGAACTTAATTGTTATCATAAGTTATCTTGCCACAAGTGGTTGACTGAGCCGTACGCACAAGTGCCTTCTGTTCAGTACATTTAAAGTTTTTAATAGAATAAGAGTATATCTTAACTTAGTAAAAATATATCTAAACTTTATAATACAGTACAAAGTCGTTAATTCGGACACCCATAATCCGGAATGATCTATAATCCGGACCTCAAAGCTAAAAACTTTCTGCGCATGCGCCACGTTGACACATGCGCATAGGCGTTTACGCGTGCGCGTAAGACCTTTACGTGCACGCGCATATGCGTGTGCGCAAGTGCAGAATACGTTTTCGCGTGCGCGTTTAACAGACGTATAACGTATAACGGGCGGTATGAGCTAAAATTATACAATTATCTATTTCAGTTAATGTTGATGCTTGCGTTATTCCTTAATCTTCGAATTGGATGCAGCTTATTATTTTTTGCAGACTGTAAGAGCAATTTTATAAAAGTCTTTCGATTATGTCAATTTTCCGATTCTGGAGCTCCCAAAGGATCTACAAACGAAAAGTATGTTGTCCAATGTCCGTCAAACAAAAAGTGGAATTGCTGCAAAAAATGGATAAAGACATGAAGAAGGTGACAGAGAGGTTAGTGAAAACGAAAAAATTTCGATTGACAAGTTAGTTGGTATTCTCGGCACAGCAATTACGGGACTTGAACAGCGGAACTTTTAACTGAAAAGAAATTATGTCTTTATAGAATTAAAGAGAAAGTATTATCACATAAAACGAAACAACTTACATTGAAAGAAATGTTTAATAAAGTAAACAAATAAATATTAAGGTTCTTTTTTTTTGTAAATTTTAATACCCTTTAGATCGTAATTGTTCTTTATTTCCTAAAATACGGTTTCATATTTTTAATTTTAGAATTTGTGCATGCCATCTTACGAGATTTAAACTGATGATCTATAATCCGGAATCGCCGAAGTCCCGACGAGTCCTGATTACCGACTTTTGACTGTAATTACATTTAAAGACATTGAAATCAGTATCTAAGTGCTTGCCATATAGTCAAATTATTATATATAAATTGTGCTCTTACTTTTAGAATAGAATTTTTATTAAAAAAATTTCAGATCTCTGTTAGATTAAATGTTTAAGTAATGTAGAAAATTTGCATAAAATTTAAAATAAAAAGTCGACTGCTATGTCAACGTACTATTTAATAAAAGTAATAATACTCAGTGAAGGTTATTCATATACAGTGGGAGATTTATAAAATTTGAGAACTGTAAATTATAAGCAATATATTCCATAATCTAAGCAACATTATATTTTTTATAGTCAGACAAACTATAAAAATGTTATAAAAGCAATAAT